TACACAATGCAGGTATCAAAGAAGTCAACGCAAACCAATACCTTTAAGCAAGGAAGAAATCTTCTTCAGAGGGTTGCTGAGTGCCACCCACAGTGGAAGAGTAGTAAACGTACCACATCTTCTAACACATGAGCTCTCCCAGACCCCACCTTCCCTGGCAACAACAGATGGCCTACTTTGTACAACAAAGCTCCACTTTCACATTTGCTTGCAGATTGTGATGCTACCATCAACTGATGACACAACATGCATTGTTATTTCTGGCAATGCTCTTGTACAGGCTATAGGCAAACCAAGCAAAGCTAGGACCTTTGGAGATTTGGCTGATGTTTTCAATTGGAATGTGCTGAAGAACTTCAGTGAAACTTGTACTTAAGTCTCGGACAAAAAGAGGTGATCGATCAAAGAAAATTTGAAGAATAATAGATAAATGAGACATCCTTCTGCTGACTTCATTGTCCAGTTTTATTGAAATGAACAAGCAAAATTTGATACAATTCTTGACCACAGAATTGCACACAAAGGCACAGCATCTCCATCAAAATAATCAAATCATCATCATTGAAGGTGGATTAAGCAGCCCAGATACAGCAGTATCTTCCATAGATCTATCTGAAGCAATGCCAAATCTACTGTCAACACATAAAGAGGCAGATACACGAATGGTGACCAATGTCATGGATGCCTCCTGCAATGGATACGACCACAGTGTCATTCACAGCCGAGACACTGATGTGTTAGTACAGTTGAAACATAAACATCTGTTTTCTGCTCAGATATGAATGGGTGCATATCAGTTGATGATGTACATCATTCTCTCATTCTCTCAGATGTTGTAGCAGCTCTACCATCATTCCATGCGGTCACAGGTTGTGGACCTGGAACATATTTATCGCACAACCATGTTTGTTGCATTCAACAGAATAAACTGGTGCCTTCAACATGAAAGAGACAGACTCACTTGTCATCAAAGTGTACAATCCAGCATCGACTGCAACTAGCATTAATACACTTACAGCTGACATGTTCCACAGAGTTGGAGACCTAGAGGAACTCCCACCACACAACCTCTACTCAGATGTCAACACATGTGCATCACGTGGTGTTCCGCACACAAAGGAAAAACTGACATTCCACCACCAGAAGGGTATAGGTGGACGTCTACAGACGATGTCATACAATCCATCCCAATGACCCAGGAATGAATGCCAGCACTGTGTCTAGAATTGCTCACCTGTAAATGCACGACAGGTAGATGCTCCAACATCATAGGATGTTCCCTTGAAATGCAGTTCTGCTATGTCATGCCTAAACAGAAACAACTTACCTACCTCTCCAGATGAGACGGACTCTGACGGTGACTAGAGATGACATTTCACATTTTAGTTTTAATACTTCATAATACTACAAGTATTCTCATGTTTGTTTCTTCACTCAAATTATAAACTAGTGAAATGCTCAGACAAAAGTGCAGTATATCTACAATTTTGAGTGAAAATATGTCCATTTGAATTTAAATCTAAATTTGGTTATGGGTTGAAGTCGTGAGAGAAATTAGCTTTCAATATTTCCTTTTTTCATTGTTGGGGATCAATTTACCACAGGAGTCAGTGAATAATGTACATCATTGAAAAGACAATGTGAAAAGCTTTCATATGATATATTACGTGACCATGTTGAAGAACAATATAAGATCTTGATTTTGAAAACAGGTCAAAATGGCGGCCATCTTGAAATTCAAGATGGCCACCATAACTGCTCACAGAAAAACTTGAAACATCATTTTTCTTTATGAATTTCATAGTTTGGTGTTTTTAAGCATTGTTGCAATTATCCCACTCATCCACTACAGCAACATCATCTACCACCATATCTCAATATGCAATTTTCGTCAAAATTGTTTTTTTGGGGGTGAGGTAACATTGTATACAATATCTCAACCCGTATGTAATATATTTTCATTTTGTTTTTTGTGTAGGGTAGTACAAAGGTTAAGGCAGATTTTAATACCCAGTTATAGTGGTTTTATTGTCACAATTCAATGGAATTAGTGGTTTACCTACTCACAAGATGTGAAAATGAAGTAAAAAAACATGATTTTTACCAATGTTTCCACTGAGAATAAGAGTAACAGTTAAATGAAACAAAATGTTTGCCGAATTCAGATTACCGAACATATTACCTGTTATCAAAGACATAATTTGGATAGTTTAATGCCTTAATAAAAATGTTACAGCCAATTTTGTCAAATTATGCATTTTTCCTTCAATTTATGCAATTTTGACCCTCTGAAAATTCCTGCACACACTTCCAAGCTTACTACCCAATGACAATTGTGTACATATACCTCCTTTATGCAATAGAAAAGGTTTAAGGTATACAGGAAAATGTGGGAACGAAAATCTTGTTTTTCACCCTTGGCCAACTGACTATGGGGGTTGTTTAGTTACGTCGTTGGCCCACCTTGCGTCATCTTTAAAAGTCCAGTTTCCACCCTTCCCGAGCTAGGCTGGAATTCCTTACCGTATACCCACCTGCCATACAATTGTATTGATTTATCTTCATATGCCAACTACATAGATATAAAGCAGATAGATAGATATGTCGAGTGTGGTGGACGTTTTATCTTATATACCTTTGGTTTTTTTCGTATCGTAAGTGTCCTAGTTTTCGTGACCTTATGGACATTCCTCGCAGATCCTGTCCATGCCGAGCAAGAGGTCTGTCTTGTTGAGATTAGGGCTAAGGTGAAATGGAGTTTAACGTCGTGAGCAATGCCTTTACTAGTTCGGACTTATAGTACTTGCCCACTGAGATAAAAGGCTGTCCTTCAGTTCAGAGTTATCAAGTAGACGTATTTGTATCTGAATTGGGCAAAATTTTACGTTATTTAGAGAACCTGTAATTTTGTCTTATATACTTATGCTTCTAAACAATTTTGACTTCTTTTTGTATTGGATGAATTAGTCGAAAGAATACTAGTTTTCAGCAATGTGGGGTCCAGATTGAAACGGATGTGATTCACCTTCCTCCATTAAGTTTCCTTCCGAAATTAACAGATAATCATGTTGCTTGCGCATATTTTCTCACCGCTGTTCCCCCGTGTGCATTACAGGATAGCCCGCGAAGAACCGGGGTATAATACGAGTAGGTCTTCAGCAACCCATGCTTGCCGTAAAAGGAGACTATGCGTGTCGTAAGAGGCGACTAACGGGATCGGATGGTCAGACTCGCTGACTTGGTTCACCTTTTCGCGTACACTTGGTATCATCACTGGTTGGTAGTGTTAGTAGATATTTTTATGATTATGGAAATGGTTTTCGTCGCTTTTATTAGTTTCCCGACCACGACACACACACACACACGCGGGCACGCACGCACGCACGCACGCACGCACGCACGCACACACACTTCTCTTTTACTATACTCCCTCTGAAAGTGTCAGCTATGAAAATCAACAATGACAGAGAGTACAGCGCCCTACATTTTATTCATGTGATAGTAAAACCGTTTACATATTTAGAACATGAAAACAGTCGTGATGAAGCTATCTCTGCCAGTCTATTAATAGAACGATAACCTAGTAATGGTTCTGTACTTCACTTCAACCTTGTTTTCTAGTTCTACGTTAATGTTGACTTTGACTCTTAACCTTGACGTATATAATGAACAGATCTAGTCTTTTAGATTCTACACCGGAACAGCTGGTCTTGTGTCATTCTTGTCATTTTTACCTGTCATGTGTAGGAACACTGGCGTATGTCTTGATGGAGATTCTGTAATTTTAATAGCCCATCCCCTCCATTAGATGCACATGGGAAAAGAACACTTCATGTTTTATGTAAGTACGTACGGAATTTGCGATACCTTTAACGTCAACATGCTTCCCTGGCCGATTTCTACCAAAATACGTTGAAAGATGGAACGTGTTATTTCGCTGCCTAAGAGCATACTGGCTCTGAGTCATCACAATGAGTTTGAGTGAGGGGATCCCGTTAAACGAGTGAATGGTATCTAAGTAGGTTAGCATTATAAAAACTGCAAAATTATACGTCCTCACTATAGCTGGTACAAGCAGTCACACATACATACGTGCATGCACGTCACTATATGAATGAAATAACCTTGAACCCCATATCACCTCACCACCGTTAAAGTCAAACGTGGTTGTGTTTTGTGATTTCCGTTCGTCCATTTAGTTCAATATTGGCTCTTTTCTCCATTCCCCACATGCGTATATATCTAGAGTAACAATCTAATGAAATGTTGTTGTTTTAATTGATACTTTATCTTTATCTATACTGGATATATAAGTAAATTCCCCCGGGATCAAAGGAATAAAACAAGGTTAACGGTGTCGTATTGTATGCCAGTGTAACCTATTGTCAAACATTGTTGCAATTGTATTACATTGTCTCAATTATGATTCAGTACAAATTCATTGACAATGGTTAGTTGTCATGAATGTAGTACTAGCTAATGTAAGCAGTGGTATGGAAGTTACTATATTTAGATGCTTTTGGAGACATGTCTAATCTAGGAACTTTTGCAGGCTAGACAATTCCAACACTGTTTAGAACCTTCTGGTAGGTATTTAGACTATATAAGAGGGCAAGTGCCTGTCTATCTCATCTCAAATTACATCTCGCATTACATCAATACCAGCAGTTGTGTGAAGATCGCTTTTCACCTTGGATATATTTTGGAGTGAGTAGGTTGGAATTGACGCAACTTTAAGCAATATTCCAGCAATATCACGGCGCCCTTTTTTGGAAGCTTGAACATTGCTGCTGCTTGGGGAATATTATTATCACAACATCTTTTTATTTGACACTGCCATTGAATGTTGTACTGCCACTCTATTGTGTACTACCAGTGTCATAGCTATGCAGGTATGCATTTGTTGCACCCTACCGCACTCGAGCCTGTCACACAATATCATCGAATTATCTGCATAAGAGCAATCGGTGTTTCTGAACATATTGGTCGAACACAATGTATTATTTTTAGATATTTCATTTCATAAATGTAGAATACATGAATCGGTGAGAAGGATCTGTTCATTCATCTGTTCCCGTTGTCGCCTATTTGCCACTGAAAGAGAAAACGGTATTATCAGCATTCAGTGGTCTCAGTTGATTTGCTAAAATATGCTTTACTGATTGCTGTAATATATTACTTTGATGTATGAATAACTTATTTTGCGTCGCTAGGTGTCTGAAACAATGCTAATTCAACGTTAAGTTTTAACTTACTTACTTTTCTCCACTGAACACATGTCCCCATTATGACACCTTAATCACATCAGACAGGAAAGCAAGCTTGTTAGCTTCGAACCTAGTTATGTGGTAGGATCAAACACAGCTGACTCATATCCCACAGAGTAGACTTGGGAAAAGCTACTACTACATGCCAAAGATTTACTTACAAGCCCCCAAAGCCACAGAAACAGTGACCGTCGTAGCAGTGGTGTGATTGACGGCTGTCTCTACATTTGCAGCTGTCGCAGTCGGCACGGGCCTTACATGTGGCTGAAAAATACACTTCCCTCTGAACATTCATGACATATACAGCTGTTACATGTGGGAATTAGAGTCGATTATCCTTTTGATGCTGGATTGTATTTAAAGGGCATGTGTTATTTGCAGTTGTGAATGTTGCCTAAATAAATCTTCCGTTTATGCTGTACGGATTTTAAAGGGAAGTAGAGGTACATGTACATGACTTTGGCAGCACAATGGCCATGCCGATGGGTTTCAACAAAGTGGTAAACGTCAAAGATCAAGATCATTTCTCGGTGCTTTCCTTATGAATTTAGCTGACATGCCGGAATATTATTGAAAATACTGTTTAAAGCAGCGTTAACAATATTTATAAACCTATTCATTGGGATCGCTATTAAGTAAGAGACTTATTTCTATAGGCATTAAAACCTATTGTGAGGTTTACTTTCCAGTCGGGTTAAATCTCATAAACAGAGACGTTGTAATGCCCTGGGATTTAATATAATATCCCAGGGATATTATAGGATATTCAAGTCACTTTTGCTATAATATCCCAGGGATTTTACATAATGTCCTGGGCATTTTATTAATGTAACTTCCGTTCAGATAGTAACATGTAATGAAATGTAAAATCAAATGCAAATGTTTTCTTTATATTCCCGGGGATCGAATTCGCAACCGTCATATCTGTAGCCCAGTGAGTGTACCACAAGGCTACAGAGGTGTTGATGAGCCAGACTGGTTTTTAGAATGTCCTTTTCAAGATCCGTACGCCAGCAGCAGATATTTTACGCGCGTTTCCTAAGGTTCATGGAAAATATGTTCGAAACATAAAAATGTTGAAAAATGTAGTTTTAAGTTTCTTTTTTCGGTTTATAAGTATGGAAAAACACTTTCCCTCGGTCGGGAAAACCGCGGGGGCTTCGCCCTCTTGGTTTTTCCCTCTCCCCAGGGCATGCTCTGTCTACCAAAACCTCGTAAGCGTGTTTTCTCCAATACATAGTCAGCTCGGTTCAGAATTTAAAGGGAAATGTCCGTTGATCACAACAATCTCTGTCCCTCTGAATGAGCAATTTCCAATAACACATCAATGTGGTAATATTGTCATTTTGAAAACAACATAATAAAATAAGCTTAATTAAGAATTAAATGGTCATGGTCAAACAGTCCTCATACCTTGAGCGCAGGAACCAGCAGTGGCTGAAGTCAGACAGGTGCATTCTCCATGGGAGCACCCCAGCTTTGAGGAACTATCACATGTCAAGTGACCACAGTCTTTGACGTCTCTGCAGAGCTCGCCGTAGATAACAGCTGAATGGGGAAAACAGTTTCAAATTAAGTTACATTTGAACTTGATGATACTATGTATACTGTCTATGTAGGACTCGCCCTAGATCACGTCTAGCCCCTAAACAGGCAACATGTATGTCAGATACTGATACGTATTTTTCTTTTTTTTTATTAATGATTGAGATAGAAGCATTATGATCGAGGGTGATCACCGACAACGCCGTTATTTCCCCCATATGAAGTTATACTAAAAGCTACAAAACCCTTTTCCATATTCATAAGAAATCTCCAAAATCGCCAAAGGCAGCCAAGCTTGGAGGAACGATCGCAAGTTACATGGTCACAGTCCCTCTACGGTTTTATTTGCTCCCCGACCAGTGGATCCGTTTGCCTTCCAGATACCATTCTCAACTCCCTGGGGAGTATACGTTTACATGAACATGATATTGGGGTGAGGGCGGCCCATTTGTCCAATTTTTGAAATTTCCACGTTTTGAATCTTAGTCGTGTCAGATCCGCAAATAGTGGTTTCAAAGATTCCGATTATTAGCTTCATCTGAACCAGTGCGCATGGCAATGTGTACGATGATCACTTTGTTATTTGTTTCACCTAGGTGTGGCTGATACTTTGTCATAAAACCGAAAAATGTTAAAAATCAGCAGAGCATACCTCACTTACAGTTGGTATTATTGCATCGATAAGAAACTCCAGTACAGAAATTTAATGATAAAAGTCTAATGTCTTGGTTGTTGTTTTACGCCGCAGTCAGCAATATTCCACCTTTATGACGGCAGCCTGTAAATAATCAAGTCAGGACCAGACAACTCAGAGATTGAAATTTAGAACAGAAGAACATTAACACGGAATCATCCAGGTCACCTGGTCGAAGAACAAGCATAGGATGCTGGGAATGCCTGGAACTAAACAGTAGAGCTGTACTCTCGTCTGTACTCACCAACAACAGCGCAGGAGACAGCGAGGAAGAGGGTGAGCTTCATGGTGGAGACAGTGGGTTTTATGTTCTGAAAGAAACGTTGACTTTTTTCCTTATATACCTTTGATTTTTATCTTATCGTCACCTATCCTATTTAGGAATCGTGACATCATGGTCATTCAGGGTAGATTTTATCCTTGGAGGGCAAGAGTTCTGTCTACTTGAGATAAGAGGCGGAATGAGGTGAAATGGAGTTTAACATCCCGATCAAGATTATTGCACTTATATAAAGCGTGCGTGTGTTTGTGTGTGTGTGTGTGTGTGTGTGTGTGTTTGTGTTTGTGTGCGCGTGCGTGTGCGTGTGTGTGTGTGTGTGTTTGTGTGTGTGTGTGTGTGTGTGTGTGTGTGTGATAGATACCTCACTCAGACACATCATGCTGGCCGACCAGAACTTGTTTTATCCCCTTTAATTAACGCCGGCCGTCAGGCAAAAATAGGCGAATTTGAATAAATTTGGGTAAATTCTTGTTATGCACTTGCTTCTTAAACATTTCAACTTCTTTTTATATTTGACAATTAAAAAACATGAGGTTCTAATTCATATCCTGGCTATCTCATTGAAAAGGAGTTTATTCACTGAAAAAATTGTGTTGTTTAAAAGATTTGATGTGTTGCTTAGTCACCATACTAACCCCTGAAAGGGTCAGCTGTGAAAATCGACAATGATCGTGAGGACAACGACCTACATTTTACATATCAGCTGATAGTACACACCGTTCCACAGAACAGGAAAACATTCGTGATGTAGCTATCTCTACTAATCTATTTATAAAAAGATAATCGTTTTATGATTCTGTACTTCACTTCAACCTTTGTCTCAAAGATGGGTCAACATCAAAGTCGACTTTTACTCTTATATACATCTAACCTCTGGTCCTTTAGAGTTACTGGGAGTTGGGATAACAGGGATTCGGATTACAAAGTTCGTTTAAAGGGGAGCAGTTATATGTCATATTGAAATATATATTTCTATTCTTGGCGATAACATTTCGTTGTCCGGTTCAGAAAAGCCCACATCACTCTAAATCTAATCGAGTGGTTGATTGCGTAATGTCTCATTTACGAGTGTCGTCTTCTTGACAAACAAGGAAGGCGGGTTACCTTCAAGACATGGCCTAATAAGAGAGAGAATCAGCTTCAATATCCTGGAATTGATTTGGAGTTTAGTGTACACCTCTAATTCCGGGATTTTCTGTGTCAGGTTGAACTGAAATTAAATAAACATTCCAAGGCATCAGAGCTATTCAGACAACAATAACACTATCTTTATGGCATGGTTTCTTGTCAGCAATGACACCATGAGAGCTCAAATACTTGATGTCACACAGGTTAGAAACCAGGTTTCCTTGCATGTAGAGACTTGTCAGAGTCATGAAGCGACAAAACCTCTTTCAGAACCGTAAGAAATATTGTTGTACGATTCCAACAACTGCATATGTAAATGAATCACATGGCATGGCAACCTTCTTTCATTTACTCAGCAAGATCTTGAAAAAATGTCTGATTGGGTCCCCAAACAGTATTTGTCAGCAAAATTTGTCATAATTCAATTATCATTTTCAAAGAGCGTCATACAACTCTTCCTCAATCCTTGTCAACTTTTCGTGAACACCTGGTGTCATCACTATTTGCTGTGGATTCATAAACGCAAGCTCATGGGTCGGAATAGTACATTAGTATCTGCTGTCATGATTATGTTTAGGGCTCTGACGATTTTATGTATAAAAAATTCATCATTATACAAACCCCCCGTTTCTGACAAAACAAATCGGTACTGTTAATTATAAGTTGAAAATATAGCTTCTTTCGGACAGTTCCGTATGGTTCCCAAGAGAGGGTGAATCAATTAATTGACATATGGATGAAGTGATAAAAATGTAAGTTTACTTTACAAGAGTATGTTCAAAACAAATGTACCGTGAGGGGGTTCAGGTAAAGTAAGGGACGTAAAGCATTTACACGAGAGCAATGGGGGTAGTTTGGAAGTTTGAAGTTGCGGTGATAGATAGATTGTCTTTATTACCTCCAGTTTTGAAGATACATTATATAAGATAGATACATGAATATAGATAAAAACTAAACAAAGTACGTAGTTACATGTCATTGTGAAGGGGGTTGTGAACAAATGCTGCCACTTGTTAACATAATGAGAGACTGGTAGCATAGTTTCGCCCCATATATCAAGCCCAAGGTCTTTCATGCAATCAGACAGTCCGCCTAACAGGAAAGACATGATAACATCATCATCATTCGACCAAAGATCAACATAGGAATTCGCATCTGTGATTTCAAAGATATTTTTGAACATTTCATTTCTTTCTTGCATATTAATAGTACATTAAATGTGTCTGACTTTATCATGGGCTACAGTTCCGCAATGACACTCTCGCGATTCCATCTTATAGCATCCTATTTTGACCATATTAGGCAGAAGAAAAAACTTTGAAGGAAATCGTAAAGAAAGTTGCCAAATCCTGATCTGATACTAGTATATCTTAACAGGTCCTGTTGGTCGCACATTTGTTTCGGAAAGCCTCACAGAATCTACATTTCTTATCTTTTCATTCACAAGACTAGTCCATTTACATTTACTGGAAACATAACAACTAGCTATGTAATCATTCCAGACATGGAAAAGATCGTATTTATGTACAAGGCGCAGCATGTTGAAACAGGTAGATTTATAACATCTTTTTGTCAAATCTGGTTGACATTTGTATTGCCCAAGTCTGCAAATAAATAGTTGTTTGAAATAGAAACAAATGTTACGGTTTATGAAGGAGGGTATTAATTAAATCCTACCGTTTAATTTTGATCTGACATGTAATTGGTAGTACTTGTGTTGCAGTAGTGTCTGTGCCTATCATACGTAAGAGAAGTGGATGCGATGTGTATGGAATATCAGGTGGTTAACCTCGACTGAAGGACTGTGGAAGCAGTGACTTACACGATGTTTTAATTAAATGTTTGTGCTTATGACTATTAGGCTTGTGTGGCCAGTGTGGAGTTCACTAATTGTCTTGGCCGTTAAATTGTTTTCGTGGTATCATGTAACTTTGTGTTGATGTAATTTTTACTTTGTTTGTTTAAGATCTTTTGTACCCGTTGAGATTTGGTATTGAGTTGATCATTTAGCTTTGAGCTTACGTAGGGTAATAGCTTGGGTGTGATATTGCTGTGGCCGTGTTTGGAGTTTACCGTGTTAAAGCCCTGATTTGGCAGTTTTGCGGGTTCTTCGTTTTCGAAATATTCCGATGTGGGTTGGCACCCAAACCAAGTGAACCTCCCTGTCCTGTTTTTGGATCGTTTTTACCATTGAGGGTATTTTACCTGTTTACCCCTCATTTTAGAATGATTATTTTGCAGTTCTTTTAAGCTACTTTGTGAATCAGTACCTATTGCTGTTGTGGTTGTTTGTTTTGGAGAGAAATTAAATGTACAGGGCGTTGAAGATGGCAATGAGCTCATATGTTGTGGGGATAAATAAAGTAAAAGGCGCGACACTTGACCTAAGCTTTGTCAATGGCGATAATGATAAAATGTCTTATTGTTGCCAACAAGAATGAACCTGCATTGAAATGACCAATCATTCAGATTAATTGGTTTCTTTTAAGCATATTTTATTCCCAATAGTGAAAAGGATGGGGTAAAAGTGGTCTAACTTAGAACACCTTATCTATAATATTTACATCACCAGGCAAAAAGAAGGGATTGAGAAGCAGTATAGAATAATTAATATTTGACGAATGTAATTACAATGCAATGATTTTTATGGTATATATCATAATTGAACAGCATTCACTATACATTCAATTTCACTCGCAGAGAAATGTGCATTGCCATTCAAGACTAATTTGAAATCTAACGGAAATGTATATTATTCAAACTTGTTGACAACTTTTCTTTCAGAGGTATTTAGTAGTTGGAGTACTAAGTAAGGATAAGACATATGGATGAACAACTTCTTTATTACAATTAGGATCGACATTTCGGTGTATGTTATAGCACCGTTAGAAGTACCACTTGCTTGATAACGGTGTTAGAACTCACACCGAAACGTCGCTCGAAAGTGTAATAAAGAAGTTGTTCATCAATATATCTTATCCTTACTTGTTGACAACTCATTACGTTGTTTTGCCGCACTCAGCAATATTCCAGCTATATGACGGACGAGACAATCCAGTGATTGACATCATGAGCATCGATCCATGCAATTGGGATCGATGACATGTATCAACAAAATCAGCGAACCTGACCACCCGATCTCGTAAGTCGCCTTTTACGACAAGCATAGTTCCCTTTTCGGGCAAGCATGGGTTGCTGAAGACCTATTCTATCCCGGATGTTCATGGGCCTCATTTCGTTGTACAATTATATAAAGCATACAATTTACATAAGAAAAAGTAATGAAATGATTTTTCACATGGATCACGACAGCAACACTTTGAATTAATAATAATACCTATTCTGTATAAATTTTAATTTAAATGGCTGGTCATATATCTTAGCATGGTATGAATGATGGTATAAGTTTCCTTTGCCTAAGGAACAATATTTAGGCGCAATCGAATTATCTTTCTGAAGATTTGCCCTGAATTTTGATAAAGGTGTGGTTTCTGTACAGAAGCGATATATCGTTCCACATACATATTGACGAAAGAACAAATACTTATAATAATGATAATGTTTTAATCTTGTAAACGGAAATTGCGAAGAGAATACATGTTCTTTGATCCAACACTGCTGGTATGATGTCTTCAAGATAAGATGGTGATTACATCGTAATATATTTCATATAAGATACAAAGTGAGTGAGTTGGTGATTATTGCTTAACTCCGCATCAACAATCTTGCAATAATCAATGCATAATTTGGAACAGCAGTTTCTATTCTTGCAGCTTCTAATTGAAGATTGTCTGGTTGATCCCTCCGTTCCAGTGTACACCCTTCACAACATTCAGTGACGTTCAATGCAAATAGCTATTTTTACGTGTACTATATCTTTTTTGTGTAGTTTCAGGTGAACACTTGACTTGCCTTTGCACGGGTACCATCGGACATGTACAATGGGCCCTGCT